CCGACCCTCTTCCTGAGACCCCGACCCTCTTCCTGAGCACCCCGTGTCTGCTGACAGCACCTGCTGCCAGTTCGGGGAGGGCCACCCACGGAGGCCACCCACCCTCTGCCCGGCATCCCCGCTTCTGTCCCAGCGGAGTGAGAAACACGGGGTCTGAGACTGAAAATATCCAATTTGATCAGATCTTCCAGAGCCTCTGCAAGTGTCCAAGAGAATGAAAAACGAACCCAAGGGCTCCACCCCAGGGAGCTGCCCTGCCCGGTGTGTGCTCCCGACCCCGGATGCTCAGGGATGGAGGCCGCGGACGTCACACTGACCCCCTTCTGGGAGGGAAGTGAGTGTCCCCTGACATTCTGGGCGTCGAAAGGGATGCCGCCAGGCCAGGCCCGTGGCCCCGAAAGCTCACATATCAACACAGGAAATATCATTTAAAAATGGGCTGCACAGAAAGGTTGTGAATTGAAGGCTGTTGTTTTAAGACTGTTTTTTCAAGCAGCTTTAGGTTTCTAGGGAAATAATGCACATACATTTCACAGTTCCCAGAGCCCCTCTCTGGTTTTCCTGTTGCCAGTTTGCATGACCGACTTCTCCTGTTCTAGCTGATTATTAACCGGAGTCCGAGCTTTACACGGGCTTCACTCTGTGTCCTGCATTCTAAGGATTCTGGCAAAGGTGTGGTGTGTCCACCGTCACATCGCATCACACAGAGTCGCTTCACTGCCCTAAAAGCGCCCTGTGCTCCACTTGCTCACCCCTGGCAGCCACTTTTTACTTACGTCTCCGTGGTTTTGCACAGCCTGTGTTTTTAAACTGAGCCCTCACAGTAATTCAGTTTCAAAAGGAGGGAGCTCTTCACTAAACAAAGTTCAGTAAGGAGCAGATGCCGCTGGGACCCTGGGACCAGGGGCTAAGGCTGAGCTCCGGAGCCAGCGCCACCCTGAAGAGGGCGGAGGTGTCATCTGCAGAAATGCTCACGTCCCTCCTGCGTTAGAGCTGAGCCTGTGGGATATACTTACACCCCTAAGGGTTAGAGCTGAGCCTGTGGGATATACTTACACCCCTAAGGGTTAGAGCTGAGGCCTGTGGGATATACTTACACCCCTAAGGGTTAGAGCTGAGCCTGTGGGATATACTTACACCCCTAAGGGTTAGAGCTGAGGCCTGTGGGATATACTTACACCCCTAAGGGTTAGAGCTGAGCCTGTGGGATATACTTACACCCCTAAGGGTTAGAGCTGAGGCCTGTGGGATATACTTACACCCCTAAGGGTTAGAGCTGAGCCTGTGGGATATACTTACACCCCTAAGGGTTAGAGCTGAGGCCTGTGGGATATACTTACACCCCTAAGGGTTAGAGCTGAGCCTGTGGGATATACTTACACCCCTAAGGGTTAGAGCTGAGGCCTGTGGGATATACTTACACCCCTAAGGGTTAGAGCTGAGCCTGTGGGATATACTTACACCCCTAAGGGTTAGAGCTGAGGCCTGTGGGATATACTTACACCCCTAAGGGTTAGAGCTGAGCCTGTGGGATATACTTACACCCCTAATGGGGTACAGCTGAGGCCTGTGGGATATACTTACACCCCTAAGAGTTAGAGCTGAGCCTGTGGGATATACTTACACCCCTAATGGGGTAGAGCTGAGGCCTGTGGGATATACTTATAGCCCTAAGGGTTAGAGCTGAGGCTTGTGGGATATACTTATACCCCTAATGGGGTAGAGCTGAGGCCTGTGGGATATACTTACACCTCTAAGGGTTAGAGCTGAGGCCTGTGGGATATACTTATACCCCTAAGGGTTAGAGCTGAGGCCTGTGGGATATACTTACACCCCTAATGGGGTACAGCTGAGGCCTGTGGGATATACTTACACCCCTAAGAGTTAGAGCTGAGCCTGTGGGATATACTTACACCCCTAATGGGGTAGAGCTGAGGCCTGTGGGATATACTTATAGCCCTAAGGGTTAGAGCTGAGGCTTGTGGGATATACTTANTAACAGAGTAGCGCTGCGTCGTCTGGGAAACACTGGCACCTCTGATGGATTAGCGCTGAGCTGTGGGGTGCACCCCGCCCCTCATGGCCTGGCGCAGTGCCCCCCTCACTCCCGGGGGAGGAGCACTCACAAGGTTTTTGAAGAAGTGGACTACAGGGTTCTCATCTTGGGGCCGGCCATGCTGCGACTTCTGGGGCAGGGCGCCGTAGTGGGTGGTTCTGGCCGCGTGGTGTGCATCCTGAAAGACAGGCCGCGGTGACCTCAGGGCTGTCGCACCCTCTGTTCCCTCCGGGTGCTGCCTGTGGCTCCCGCGTGCACCTGGATCACCTTGAATCAGGACCTTTTGCGGGGACGCTGCTGACGCGCCCCAGACGTGCCTGAGGGAGGAGGGGACTCGCGCAGGCCCTCTGCTGGGAGACGCACTGGGCTGGGAGCTCTCCCCCCGCAGCCCACGGCTGGGTCCCGATGCCCCCTAAGCATGGGTGAGGGGCAGTGAAGGTCACTGAAGGGTGCCTCCATCTGAGACAGGGCCGGGCAGGCAAAGCAGGGAGAGGACAACGTCACTGCCCCAAGCTCCCCGTCTAGACAAAGGAAAACACTCAGGAATTACACAGAAAACCACGGCAACAGCAGAGACCATCCACGCAGCGGCTCTGGGTTCGAGCACATGGACCAGCCTGTTTCTCAAAGGCAGGGGACTCTGCCCTCCCCGTGACTCGCTGGCTCCTTCCCAGTTTGGGAGAACAGAGTTCCAGGTGCGTGGCCCCCACTCCGCACCTTCCCCTGCGTGACCCTCCCCAGCTGTGGGTCCCCCCACATGGCACCCTGGGGTCGGAGACCTGCTGTCTCCCAGACTCTCCCCTGCCAGGGTCCTGCTCACCCAGCTCACGGATCTGCGTTTTCTCCACAATGTCCTTGTGCTCTTCCCGCCACAGCAGGACCTCAGCAAGGTGGCTCTGCCCTCCCGGCCCGCAGGACCCTCCCTGCTTCCGCTCGACCAAATACAGCCCTTCCCTCTGGTCTGCAGAGCCCTCTGAGCCTGAGTGTCGGGTCTTCTCGCTTTCTGTCTCAGCTCCGAGGGACTGGCCACCTCACAGCCTCTGCGCAAGGTGTCCTTGCCCCGGGCCGGCCTCCTGTGCGATGCTGGCTCGCGCGGCTCCCCCCCGGCTTCCTGGGCCCCGCTCACTCTTCAGCTGCAAACTCCCCCCTTGCCCCGTCTCCCGGGGCCCAGGCTTCACACTGCGGGCTCTGCGTGGTCACTGCCTGCTTCTCTCCGGGGTCAGAGGAAGGTCACAAGCAGCCCCTTCCTCCTGTCCAGTGGCCCAACGGTGCTGCCCACGGAGAGCACTTCTGAACAGCACCCCTCTGTCCACAGCGCCCCGCCCTCTCTGCTGGGCACCTGCCCCTCCCTGGACCAGGCCACCGAGTGGCAAATCTGGGCCGTGTGCCCCTGGGCGCAGCCCCCCTCAGGGCTTCCTGCCGCTGCAGTGCCCTCCTGGGGGCCCTCTTCAAGGCGGGTCCTGGCGACCTTCCTCCAGCCCGCCGCCGGCTCCGCTCCCGGCTCTGTTCTCCTGGCCGCTGGACAGTCGCCTCCCTCAGGCTGAGCACCGGCCCGTGGCTGGCTGGGCTCCTCTCTGCGCTCTGGGGACCTGCAGGGCGCCGAGTGGCGCTGTGGGCCCGAGGGCCTGGGCAGAAGCCGCTGCCAGGGCGTTTGAACGGGGCGAGGTCGGCAGCAGGCGAAGCAGCGGGTCCTTCGCGCTCTGACCTGTTCCCCTGCTGTGGCCGGGCCCCAAACTGCCTGGTCCCCTCCGGTTACCTTGTCTCCACCCAGCGCCTTTCTGAGCTCGGGACTAGCGAGAGCAGTTGCTCCAATGGAAGAGCGTGTGAAATTAAGAATGAAAAACAAAACAGAAGAGCCAGGAAACTGTTTAAATTACTTAGGTTAAGACAAACATCTTTAGATGTCTAATTTGCTTGNAGGAAACTTTAAATTACTTAGGTTAAGACAAACATCTTTAGATGTCTAATTTGCTTGGTGAAGTTGTTTATTTGATATCATCCTAATGGCTTGAAAAACTGAAACGGCTCAGAATTTGGTACAGCTCCCTCGTGTCTCAGTGTTTATGTACCATTTTCCACACGCTGTGCCGTGTTTCGAGTCACAGACGCATCTCCTAGCTTTAATTTAGTTTCGTGATTAAACTAAAAGATGTCTTGAACTTTACAGAGAGGTTTTTAAAGAAATGGATGCTCGGTTGTACCAGACGGGTCTTGTGTCATTAGAGCTTATTGATGCGGCGAGAGAGTGGAGCGCTAGGTAGACATCAATATTGTGTCCCATGTGAGCAAGGCACGCCTGCTCTGAGTGCTAAAAAAACCAGCTATATGCTTTTGTGATTTATATAATGAATATATCAGTCACTAATCTTCTAAGAAAAAAGTAATTTAAATCTTTTAAGGAACAAATGAAGTTGGTGGGTTGCATTTTAGCTCTCGGAGCTGTGACGTCAGGGGTCAGACACGTTCAGGGAAACGGCGATGGGTCTCTATGGGGCTCAGCACAGAACCAGCCCTGCGATGGGCACTAACTGCCTGCTTGATGCGCACCACTCAGGCCACTGTTGACCCAGAGCCTAACACACACGAGAGGCCGTAGGCAAACAGAACACTGTTCACGGAGTCACACGATTCTTTCGTCGACTGTGGGGAGCGTGAACTAGACTTCGATGGACTTCTGGGCTATAAACGGTCAGTTGTACAGCTTATTGGATGTGGTCACACAGTTGTAACTGTATCATCATATTATAGTGGTAATGAGATGTTACGTAAAGGATATTTAGTCAATCGTATTTCTATAGACTAACAAGGAGCAGTTAAAAAAAGAAAAAATTTAAAACACTACCACATATAATAGCAAAGAAACAAAACATTAGGTATAACTCCCCAACAAAACACGTAAGGAATCTTTATGCTAATAACCAGAAAACGCCGGTGGAAGAAATCAAAGACGCCTTCAATAAATGGAGAGACAGACTGCAGTCAAGGATTGGAAAACTCAGCATAGTTATAAAGATGTTAGCTCTCCCAGGTTGATCTACAGATTTAATACACTTCCAGTCAAAATCCCAGCAAGATTTTATTTAGACATACGCAGACTGATTCCAAAACCATAAGGAAAGGCAATACAAACACAAAAACAAAACAACAAAAAACCACACACAGAAACAAACAAAAATCAAACAAAACAAAAAACCCACCAAAATAGCCATACAACTGTAAAAAAGACTAAAGATAGAGAAATTCCACCACCTGACTTTAAGATTTCCTGTATCTGTGGTCATCAAGCGGGTGATGTTGGGGGAGGGACAGGCGCAGCGGTCAGTGGAACGCAGTAGGGACCAGAAACAGACCCACACACATGATCAGCTGATTTTTGACAAAGGTGCAAAGTCAGTTCAACACAGAAAGAAGAACCTTAGTCTTTTCAACAAATGGTATTGGAACAAATGGATGCCTGTATTAAAAAAAAAATTGACCTCAATCAATCACAGATCTCTATCTACAGTGTAAAACTACAAAGACTTCTAGGAAAACAAGAAGAGAACATCATGATGTGACTGCAGGCATCAGGCATCAAGTTCTTAGACCTGACACCAAAAACACGACCCATAAAAGAAAAAAAAGATAAATTAGACTTGATAAAAATTTAAACTCTCTTTTGTAAAAGACACTATTAAGAGAATAAATAGACAAGCTACAGAACAAGATAAAATATTTGTAAATCACATATATGACAATGGACTTAAAGCCAAAATAGGCCAAGAACTCTCAAAACTCATTGGTAAAAAAAAAACCAACCCAGTTAAAAAATGGACAAAACACTTGAATAAACACAGTGGAAGAAGATGGACAGAAGGCAAATAAGCGCATGAAAACATGCTCGACGCCATTAGCCATTAGGAAGGTGAAAATCAAGATCATGAGGAGATGCCACTACACGCCTGTTAGAAAGGCTAAAATAAAAAACGTTGACAATACTAAGTGTTAACAAGGATGTAGGTCAACTGGAGCTCTCAGGCCTGGCTGGTGGGAATGCAAAACGGTGCAGTCACTCTGGATAATAATTTGGCAGTTTCTTATAAAGCTAATCATGCACTTACCATATGGCCCAGGGACCCTAATTCCTGCTGCTAATGACAGAAGGAAAGCCAAGTATTTTGAGAAGTGATTTTTATAATGAATATCTTGGTCATCAGGTTTTTGACAAAAAGTAATTTAAATCTTAAAGGAAAACGCCATTGTAAAAAACCCTGTACGTAAATGTTGATAGCAGCTCAATTCATAATCATTAAATCTGCAAACAACCCCAACATTAGTCAACAAGTGGAGGGATGAACGGACCGTGGTGCCTCCGAGCAGTGGAATACTACTCAGCCAGAAAAAAGGAACACGCTTTGGGTAATGCAGCCGCTCAGAGGCGTCTCCGAGGCATGGTACTGAGTGAAAGAAGGCATCCGAAAAAGATTTCTTACTGTGCTATTTCACTTATGTGGCTCACTTCAAACGATTAGGCCACAGAGAGGTCGCCAAAGCAGTGTCCGCCAGGGCTCGGGGCGGGGAGAGGGAGGTGCGGTGTGACTACCAGCGAAAGCAAGAGCCAGGGCTGGGTGGAGGGTGCATCCTTCTAGTGGTGGCAGCTCCCGGAAACTCTACCTGTGTTAAAATTCACAGAGCTGCACGCACAGAGCCAATTTTGCTGTAGTTAATAGATAAAATAAAATAAGGCCATTTAATATCACGTAGCCAAACGCTGATGACGGCACTTAATGTCGGTGCTCGGACTTGCTAACAGCGAAGCCTGGGCAGGGGAGGCTGGCGCCCCCTCTCAGCGCCAGCCTCGAAGTCCCTCTCCGGGCTCCTGTTCGCCCTGTTACCCTGCTTAGACGGTCTTCCCCTCCCGAACGTCTCTGTTTTCTGGACAACATGGCACCTTCGGGCTCTAACAGCTCAGTTGGAATCAAACTGTCCTGTGAGCCGTCATAAGCATCTTGCCTCTCCTGCTAGATTTTAACCTTTTGGGGGAAACATTCTACGTGGCCCCCACAGCCCAGGCCGTGAGGCGCACAGAGCGGAGCTCAGTGAACACGAAAGGACATAAAGGGACAAAGGGACATGGCCTTGCGGGGACAGCTCGCCGCCGGGCCCCGGAAGACGCCGGTCCTGACGCCAGCGCCCGTG